GTGCTGCTGTTGGGTGAAGTGCTCTATAGATGTCTATAAGGCCAAGTTGGTGGATTGTATTGTTTAGCTCTTCTGCATCTTTGTTGAGTTTCTTTCCAGTTGTTCTATCTTTCAAAGAAAGTGGTGTATTACAGTCTCCCACTATGAGTGTGGAGTCATCTGTTTGGCTTTTCAACTCTTTCAATGTCTGATTTATGTATTCTGGGGCTCTTTAGAAGTGTCTTCTTTCTTGTTAAAAATTTCTCAATCCAGATTTCAAAAAAAAATTTTTTTATGACCCACAGGACATATATTGCCCCACCACATTTTCAGACTCTCAGGTTTTTATGGGAAGCTTCTATCCCAGTTATAGTACGTGTTCTGCCTGGTGGGGGTCTGTATAATTGTGTGAACCTGAAGAAATGGACCTCACCCTACTAATCTTACCACCAGAGTCTACTTGGGCATATGTGTCTCACATAATTGTATCAAAATCTGCACTAGCTTAAGAAATTTTTTTTTTCTTTGATTTCAGCATGTCTTGGGAGCTCTGGTGGTGTAGTGCCTAAGGCATTTGACTGCTAACCAGAAGAGTGGCGGTTCAAATCAGCCACTCCTCAGAAGGAAGACTGGGCAATCTACTTCCATAGAGATACTGTTTCGGAAACCCAAGGAGGGGTCGCTATGAGTCAGAAATGGCACAGCTGCAGTGAGTTTGAGGTTCTCTTTTTTTGGTTGAGCATGTCTTACATTACCTGAAACTCATGGTATCAACAAAAAAATTCGAAGCCGAAAATAATTTGGACATGAAAGGGTTAAACTGAGGAGAAATTCACCTAACTTGCAATTTATTTTAAAGTGTAAAATTCAGCAGCATTTAGTGCATTCACAATGTTGTGCAACCACCACTTATAATTTCTAAATTTCTTCATCCCCCTAGAAAAACACCCTGTCCCAATCTCCATCTCCCTTTCTTCTCATTCCCCGGTAACCCCAATCTGCAATAAGGATTTGCTTTTTCTGGGTATCATAAAACGAAATTATATAATACATATAACCTTCTGTATTTGGCTTCTTTCACTTAGAATAATGTGTCTGAGGTTTATCCAAATTATAGCATGCATCAATACTTTGCTCCTTCTTATGGCTAACTATACTCCTTCATATTTTGTGTGTATGTGTGGATATGTATGGTGCTCTGGTGGCACAGTGGTTAAAGCATTCAGCTGCTAATCAAAAGGTCGGGAGTTTGAACCCACCAGCTGCTCCACAGGAGAAAAATGGGGCAGTCTGCTTCCATACAGATTTACACTCCTGTAAAACAAGCTCTTAAAATAAAAAAAATTAAAGATTTACACTCCTCTCTTTTCTAAATTCCCTTAGGTTTTCTCTTTGTATCCTATACAAATCTTTATTTGTCTCTTGCCAGAAACATCTGGTATTCTCTCTCATTCTACCTGTGGCCCTCATTCCAGATGATATCCCTAGTTCATCTCATTCATTTCCCCAATGGATGATTTTCAAGTCAGTATCATCTCACCCCAACTTCTCCCTAAGCTCCAAGGCCACATATATGACTGCCTATTAGAGATCCCCATTTGGATATTCCCCAGATACTTCAAAAACAATCTTCCTAAATATAAATTCAGATCACAGCACCAGCACCCAATCAATACAGAAATATGGAAATATCTTTGACTCTTCCTACCTTCTCACACACTTCGTATGTGGTTAGTTTAGGTGTCATCTAATAGATTCAGACTCACAGCAACCTGATACAACAGAGCAGAACTGCCCCATAGGGTTTCCTAGACTGTAACACTTCTTAGTATACATGCTGCCGAAGCAAACACTAGACTGTAATCTTTACAGGAGCAGATCAAGTCTTTTCTCCTGCAGAGCCACTAGTGGGAGTACTGGTTAGTGACCAAGCACTTAACCAATGCATCACCAAGCATTTAGTGTCTTCTCAGCTAACAACAGCTCTCTTTCTCTGGAAAAACCTCATTCTGATCAACAATGATCTAGTCATAGTGGTTGCAGTGTGATGAATTACTTTTATATGGTCTTTCTAGCCATTGTCTTTTAACCTCTAACAGAAGATTGGGTGGAACTATGCAAATAAGGTGCTGTGGCCCACTGAGGGGACTGGACAGATTGTTGAAAATACACATAAGGGATATGGAATCCCTGTGGGGATAGTACCGTGCAAATAAGGTGTATGAAACCCCAAAAAGGGGATTGGTCAGTTTTACCATCCTACTAGGTTTAAAATGAGCTATCCCAGAGGTGGAAGGGGTAGTGGTGGGGGAGAACCTCACTACGACCAAGAAGAGATGAGAGCAGAGAGCATCCTTTGGACCTGGGGTCCCTGTGCTGAAAACCTCCTAGACCAAGGAGACAAACAAAGAAAGAACTGTATGAGACAGACCAAGATGGCAAGAAGTGGTAGCAGAGAAATGGTGGCAGCAAAATCAGGAGACCAGAGAACCAAAAGATAGGCACAAGATGGTGCAATGAGCTTCCCAGCCCACAGAGCGAAACAGTCACAGTGAGTGGGCAGACAAATGGAGCTAGAGAGCTGAGAGCCTTTAGGCAAGAGGCTTCCTGGCAGAGTAAGGTGTCTCCAGACACTTGTCAACTGAGCTAGGCTTGACATCTCATAGAGCAAGAGTGTGGATTGCCTTCAGGTCCAGGCATACTCATGGAGTGGGGTAACTCTGACCACTTACTGGTCGAGCAAGAGATTTCCAACACCTGTCTGAGTAGGGCAGAGGCCAGCCCCACCCAAATGGCCAAACGGGCCAAGGGCCAAGAGGCTGAGGTCCAGGGAGAGGCCTGCCTGTGGGCACAGCAAAGCTATCCTGACCAAAGAGCTATATCCTGAGTCATTCCTGATCCTGAATTGTAATCTATTACTTTCCTAACAAACCCCATAAATGTGAGTGTACGGTCTGTGAGTTCTATGCAGCCACTGCAATGAATTATTGAAGCCAGCAGAGAAGTAGAGAGTACTGTGGGAGGGACAGTTGGTATCAGAATTGGTAAAAAGGTTGGAGAGAGGAGTTATGTCTGATCTCTGCCTCAAAGCAATCAGCCTTGGTGTGTTGATGCTGACAATGATTCTCTCTCCCCAAGTTAGAGGAGGTCAGATGCATCTGCCACACTGTTTACTGTTTTTACGTAGTGGTCCACACACAGCAGTCATGTTTGTGTCCTTGACCTCAACTGACTGACTGGGCTAAGGATGTTTGCCTTTCTTAACCTAGGTCAGATTTTCTCTCCTAGGAATCTGAACCTAGGACCAAGCAATCCCAATCTAACCTGATCTCTTCTATATGAGACATAGAAATTGTGGCAGGACCATCTTTTATTACAGAAATTGAATAGCAACAAAAGTTGGTAAGGAGAAGGAAAAGAATAAAGAAAATAAGCAGATGATGGGAAATGTGATGATTATGACTGATGGTTGTACAAAATGATTAATGTAACTGATATCAATAATTGTATAGCCGAAAAATGTTGAATTGGTACATGTTGTATTTATTTTTATAACAGTAAAAATAAATAACCTCTCTCTACGTATACACACATGCACACAAACAGAGAGAGGAGGAAAAAAAGAGATGAGGACAGTTTTGACAACTTTATATTTCCTAGTTCTAATTTCATTCTAAGACCTGCTGTGTTCTCACTCAATGTCATGAAACAAAATGTGTATGAACTAATGTATGGGAAATGGATTTGCTCTATAAACTTTCACCCAAATCACAATAAAAAATTTTTTAAAAAAGGGAAAAAGACCTGCTGTATTCTTGTTCTTGTCTTCTATGATATGTTCCTATATACTCACCACAGTTTCAACAATGTCATATATCCCAATTCAGATCCTTCAATAAAGCCCTAATGCCTCACCATGAGACGAAAGTGAGGTGATCCTTGAATATCACCTATTCCTTCACCACCACTTTAAATTCCAGCAATTCCAAATTCCTTCTAGATTCCAGATCATGCCATTTTTACCTGCATATTTTCATATATTCTATTTCCTCTTCCAAAAGTGCTTTTAGTCCCTTGTCTACCTGGTGATCCCTAAGTTATTCTCTGAATGCCTCACTCAAGTGGTATTACCTCTATAAAAGGAATACAATGACACTACCAGAGGTAACTACTTCTATTCTATTTCTACTGTAGCTAATTTTATTAGTGCACATTTTACATTACCACAAAATTTTATGTACGTATCTCTATTTCTGAAACTAGATGTCAGTTTCTTGAGCATAAAGGCTGCATCTTATCCTTGTATCTCCTTGAACATAATGACACCATATTTTAACTTTATCCTTCATCATTTTTCTCAAGTAATGAAAGAAGGCAGAAATGTGAAGTAAATATAGTAAACTCATTATGTCAGAATAGCAATTTACACTTAAGGAGTATTAATTACACCTTTAATGCTGATATGATCACCAATGAGCATTCCCCATAAGGCTACACATGCACGGTCCAAAAACAAAAGGCGATTGTCACCAAAGGTGTATGTTGTTGTTGTTGTTATTTGCCACTGAGTAGGTCCTGACTCATAGTGACCCCTCCTTGGGTTTCCAAGGCAGTATCACTATGGAAGTAGATTCCCCAACTTTCCTTCCAAGGAGTGGCTGGTGGGTTTGAACTGCTAGCCTTCTGGTTAGCAGTCAAGTGCCTTAGGCCTTACGCTACCAGAGCTCCTCCAAAGGTGTGTAGTAGATCCAATAAATCTTTCACAACCACTTACCTGTGTATTCTGGATAACAGATTGTTAATGGACTCCTCCTTATTTTTTCCTCAAAAAGATCTTTCTTGTTGAGGAAGAGAATGATTGAAGTGTCTGTAAACCACTTGTTGTTACAAATACTGTCAAACAGTTTCATGCTTTCATGCATTCGGTTCTAAAAAAGAAACAAAGGCTAATAGGCCAGCAGCAACAAAATGTAAAAGTGTATTCAACTCTTAAAAACCAGACCAACAAGTTTTAAAAGCACTGAGTGACATTCATGAAAATAAGTTAGACACTGATAAAAGGCTGGGCCAGTCCTCATTTTGTTATTGAAGGTAGAAAGAAAGGTTGGCTGAGAAGAGGACTTAATCTTGCCTGTGTACTCAGTGTGGCTGCCACGTCTCTTCAAAATTAACAGGGTAAAAATAAATAAATAGCAGGGCATGGATTAGTATTTGAAAATCTCACTGACAAGGAGAAAACATAAAGAATATTAAGTCTTGGTTCAATGCCCACATAGATGCACAAAGTCTCCTAAGAATATTTTCCATTTCCTGGATGTATTAAACAGGCTTTTCACCAAAGTTTCAACATACCATCTCTTCATCCTCAGCCAGAACAAGGTCATAATCACTGAGGGCCACACAGAAGATAATTGCTGTCACTCCCTCAAAACAGTGAATCCACTTTTTTCGTTCTGATCTTTGGCCACCTACATCAAACATCCTGAGTAAAGGGGGAAAAAAAAAAGCACAAATTCAGCAAAGTCATACAGGTACTTCTTTCTCTAGATTTAAATGGTTAGGGAACTTCCCACTGAGTATTCAAAACCTCTTTATAATAGAAAAGACAAACAAGGAGCTGAAACATCATAGTCAAAACAATTATCTGTGGTTAAAAGTAAAGGGAACCAACCACGTGAGAAAATAAAATTCATTAATAATTAAAATCCTTATTTTAGATAAACAGATGAGTCTTCCTTTATTAAAGCTTATATTGGATGTGCCAAAAGTCAACAGAATTAGCACTGAAATGGAGTAAATGAAGGAGGGGAAAAAGATTAGAAAAATGATAAGCTGATTAAAACAGCTTGAGATAACGGTAACACTAATAATAACAAGTAATATTTATAATTCACATAGTTCCAGATACCAGCTTAAACACCTTCAAAACATTAACTCACTTTATCCTCAAAATAATTCTCTAAATTACAATTTCCATTATTCTCATTTTACAGATGAGGAAACTGAGGCACAGATATGTTAAATAATTTGCCCAAGGGCACACTGCTAACAAAGGGGACAGGGATCTGAACCCAAGTACTCTTAACTCCAGAGCCCAAGCTCTTATTCACAATACCTTTCCACCTCTCAAAAGGGTTCACCTCTTTCATTAAGAACCAAAAAAAAAAAAAACTCACTGCCATGGAGTAGAATCAAACTCAGAGACCCCTCCTTGGCTTTCTGAGGCATATCTCTACAGAAGTAGATTGCCCCATCTTCCTTCAGAGAAGTGGCTAGTGGATTTGAACTTCCAGCCTTCTGGTTAGCAGTCAAATGCCTTAGGCACTATGCCACCAAATAGAACAATGAAAAAATATAAATCCTCCAATATGCCTTCTGCTTCTATAACTTCTCGCTACTGATTGAAGTTTGTTTTTCTTACTTTAAGGAGAAAAATATTTTAGAGATTAACTGTGAAAAACTTAATATTTTATGGTTGAACCTTAAAAACCCAGTGTCTGAAAACAAATTAGTATTTCCCAACTCCACCAAATCTTATTTGAACCTAATTAATAATAACAAAGCCTCACTTGTTCACACGCTTTTTGTTCCACTCCAGATTATTTTAGTCTACTACTCCCTGCTGGGGGGCATACTTGATATCCTGATTCAACTCCTGAATTTCTGCCAAGAGTACCCTCATCTATCTCCCACAGTAAAGTAACACCTATGTGCTACTCTGTCTTTTAGCTGCTGCTGTCTGAAAAGGTACACATGCAAAAGGTTAGGCACTTTTAAGATCTGTATTTGATGATAATGATAAGGTTTTTAAAGGCTTAACTCTGCCAAGCTGGTTTAGTATGTCAAATCTACAGTAACTAGGGGCCTAAATTTCCAGATTTTTTTCCCTGAAATGTTAGAGAAATAAGACATATTGGTAATTTCTCAATGTACATTTGAAAGTGAACATTCATCATATTCCTTCATGGTCCAACTTTCTCTTCTGGCTGATCTTTTCAACCTCTGCCCATGACAGATGGACCAAACTAATCACAAACTGGCTGAATACAGTCATGTTATTATAGGCTTTAAAAAGGCTGACCCTACACATTTTACCATGGAAGTCTTGAAGAGGAAATACACTGGTACACCACTAATCTGTTTATTCCCCCATTTTCCTCCATCAAGTCTAAAACTGGCAGAACACAGTGAAGCTCCAAGGTAAGCTTTTAGCACATTTATAATACCATCTACTAACAGATGAACATTTTATAAACATTACCTCATAACTGAGAGGCAAGTAAGCAACTATACAATGCCTTGTATAAAGTAGATGTTCAATAAATGTTTGAATAAATGGATAGTGGTTTTGCCTAGAGAAAAGAGGAAAAGGAAGAAGTGATAGTACTTCATAACAAGATAGCTACATGCCAATAATATCAAATCTGGCTATTGAGGCTAGTATAAAAAACACTGGTAGAATTTACCTCACTTAAGATCACCCTATAACAACCTCAACAAGAAAGTTTTCCATACTAAATAAATAATAGTAATTAATTATAAATTAATTACTAATTTTAGAGTACACATTAGAAACCTCATTCTAGGGATCCATAGGTAACAATCCATGTGGCTTGTCTTGCTCTTCTTAATTCCTGACTATTGGAGATAAACAGTTACTCTATTCTAAAAACATTCAATTGAACAGCTATTTTCCTACACCAGGTTTCAAATTTGGTTTAGTTATTAAGATTTCAAGACCTCAACTGGTATCTGTTGTTGTTAGCTGCTCTCGAATTGGCTCCCAACTCATGATAACCCTATGTACAATGGAATGGGTCTTGCCCATCTCCACAGTCAGCTACAAATTGGACCATTGTGACCCACAGAGTTTTCACTGTCTGATTTTCAGAAGCAGAACTCCAGGCCTTTTTTAAGTCTGCCTTAGTAAAAAACTCTGCTAAAACCTGTTCAGCATCATTGCAACACACAAGCCTCCAATGGTAAACAGGTGATTGGCTGTGTATGAGGTGCACTGGCCAGGAATTGAACCTGGTTCTCCCGTAAGGTGAGAATTCTACCACTGAATCACTACTGCACACTTGTAATGTCTACCTCCCTGCGCAAGTTTCACAAATCCTGTGGAGCAACTATTTTCAGAGAAAAGAAAATCTAGAGGATCTGAGGTAGTAGTTATACTTGCATGCAAAAGTGCTGAATATCACATACTACAAAAGAACATAACGAGACAGCTAAAAAGTATACAATATATTAAGGGGAAAAGTTTACTCCTAATCACAAAGGTCACAAAAGCAGAAAATTAGAACCAAAAAAGACAGTTCTATTATTTATAAGAGACCATTAACAGAGAGACAAACTGAAGCCTATTTTAGAATTACTTTTGCTGATAAGAAAATCCTTTGTATTAGAATACCTGAATTGTCTCTTAAAAACAATCACTGTTCATACAACATCATCCCTCCCCAAAATATCACTGTCCCCAGGCTAATTCTCTATTCCGCATTGCAGTAACAACTTAGCTGTGCAAGATGCTGAGCACAAATAAGTCCAAGAGCTGTAGCAGTATTAGCTCCATTCCATTACACTTACAGGGAAACGCAGACTAGTAAGGAAGGATGACACTGGTGAGAAAAGCATTTTTACCCTAACAGCAAAACAGTAGAGCAAACCCACAAAACTAAACAAAAAAACTGGTTTTCTGTTATCCTGAAAAACAAACATTCAATACCTGTTTTGGTGACTCCAACAAAAAAGCAGCTGTAAAGAATAAAATTAAAAAATAATAAATCGATAACCACATGATTAATTCTATTGGGAGATAAATTACAATCTAATTCTGAATTTAAATTCTTCCAAATGGATAAAAATATTTGGTGCTATTTAGAGAAAGAAGGAATGTTTGGACTCCTTATTACATTAAACATTCAAATACAGGCTGATGAATATGATGGTAAGTTTCTTCACCAAGATATATCCCCTATGGTAATTTTACCCCAATTAAGAGATACTAAGGAAAGATATTTCTGTGTTTGGCACACTGAGCAAAAACACTAATGACTTACTTGAAGTACAGGTCCTTGAAGGTGAAATGTGTTTCCACAATGCCTGTGGTCTTCACTCTTGTCCGAAGAACATCTTGTTGAGTTGGAATATAGTTGGTTTGGGATATTCTATCCAAGTCATTTAGGTAACTAAACAAAACATACATTTACGTTGACCTAGTGAAGTCAAGCGTTTGCATAGCAAGCCAAGAGATTAAACTAGTTTCTTGCCAAAAGTAGATTCTGAACCTGACACTAAAGTGGCCAAACAAAATCAGATCTTGGGAGAAAATATGAACTCAGCATAGGACAGTCAAGACAGGTTCTACATATATTATACAAAAGTGGTTTTACATCTACAGAACTAAATTATAAAGGCCAATTAAAAATGACAACAGCATGAAAATATTATTATTAAAGAGCAATTCCTGAAATGTAAATCAATCATGCACAGTGTAGTACAAAATCCAAACCAAAATAAAAGCTTTCAGGCATTTAACATTAACAGATCATTTGCACATGTCATCATATAACAGGGCATTAGAGAATGGTGTCTAAATTACTAAAATTAAAAAGAGAACTACAGTCAATAAGAATGAGTAGTTCCTGTTGTTAAGCAAGAAACAAAAGTTCTTTGAGCAAAATAAAAGAAAAAAAAATCACAAATACCTCCAAAGAGATTTAATTTGTTCAATGAGATAATTAAGACTGCTTCAAAACTAAATTCTTCACCAATTCCAGGATTCCTAAAGATGTTTTGATTAGAAAATTAAAAAGAAGGTGGCACCATTATAAGTGAATCATTTAATGACCTTTTCTAAAACGAAGTGCTATCAAAATGTTAAAGAATCAGTCAAGTTTAGATCAACAGTTACGAGAAAAAAAATCCAAAAGCCCAGTACAAATTACATCAGGTGCAATTAGAGGATTCAGAAGTTACTGAATACCTATTTGATTTAAAAAAAGAGAGAGAGAAAAACCAAACTGCAATCCAGCTATGAATACCTGCAAATAAAATATGTAATTAAATTAAAAAATGGCCAAAAATTCTGAAACGTTTTTAACGTCAACCTTTCTTTGGAAGAATAATAAATTTTTTCAAATACTATATAATTCCTTCTTAAAAACAATGTGAGCTAGAATGAAGATGGGAAAAGTAGTAACGTATGATATTGGAGGTAATGTTTAAAAGTGCCTAGTAGAGAGAGAAATACAGGTTAACAAGAGCTCAGCATTTTCCCAAAATGTTATTTAAAAAAAAAATTCTCATCAATCATGCGAGTTCAGAAGGGCAGTATTTGCACAGGAAGACAGCTCAGGGGGCAGGAATGCACAGGAAAAAAGGACACAGGGAAGAGGTAACTACAGGGAGGTAATAGGAAAAGAGCTGTTACACTGTAGGGATTATAGTCAATGTCATGAAACAAAATGTATATGAACTGCTGTATGGAAAATGAATTTCCTCTGTAAACTTTCACCCAAATCACAATAAAAATTAAAAAAAAAAAAGAAGACTAAAAAGGTTGGACCAAAACAAAAAAATACATTCTGAATATAGTCTTATAAATAAACATGTGCAAAAGAAGCAAAATAAGATAGCACATAAGAAGCTTAAGAGAAATATTAATTACAAATTTTCTACAATACTTACCATTTCATTCCTATATAAAGTTTACCACTGTGATATGACAAAGGATTTAGAAATGGTGACTAACCAAAAACCAAACTCAACCCACTACCATTGACTTGATTCCTTGATTCCAACTCAAGTGACACTACTGGACAGAGCTGCCCACAGGGTTTCCAAAGCTATAGCTCTTTATGGAAGCAGATTGCCTCATCTTTCTCCAGCTGAGTGGCTGGTAGGTTTGAACCACTAATCTTTTGGTTAGCAGCTGAATGTCTGACTAACACCAGAGAAAACCACGGTATAGCCAAGCAACAGGGAGTTGGCTGCATAAAAAGCAGTATCACAATCCTAATTTCCTTCTCTAGCTGGCTCTCTGCCAAGCACTCATGCAGAGGGAATTTACTGAATTGGAAGTGATCCAGGACCGAGCTGCAATAGATTTCTCTCCTCCTTCACTTGCTTATGGAGCTCTGGTAGAGTAGTGGTTAAAGCATTTGGCTGTTAACCGAAAGGTCAGTGGTTCAAATCCACAAGGTGCTCTGTGAGAGGCAGTCTGCTTCTGTAAAGATTTACAGGCTTGGAAACCTTCTGGGGCAGTTCTAACCTGTTGTAGAGGGTCACTTTGAGTTGGAATCAACTCCATGGTGGCAAGAGTTTGGTTTCATTTGGTCACTTGCTCACTATAACGCCAAGTCTCCCATTTACATTCCAAAAGAGAACCTTTTTTCCTCTAAGTCATACAAAGACCAAAGGCTCTACAACCCTAAACTGAGACAATCTTTATTAAGGATCTTACAGATACATTTACTTAAGGAGGGGCATTGAACTTTCTTCAGGCCACCAAATTATTTTTTTATAGTTTCACACTGAAAAATTACTTACTATGAGGCAGAATCATTGAGCTGATATTCCCTGGATCTGCTGAAGCAAGCTTGCACTCCCCCATCTCGCCATAACCGTTTAATCACTCCTGCTAGTTCTGGAGTCATGACTCCTTCTTCAGCACTGCCAGCTAAGACAAATAATTGCCGGGCATCATCCTAAAGAAAGCAGTTAAGAAAGAGAGACAGATCATTGTCTATTTCTTAAAGACTTGATAACACATTATGTTATAAAATTATAATGATACTGTATTATTTTAGAAAGAGATCTTTTCTGGCAGGGACGTCTAAGAGAATTTACAACTAAGTCTGTCTCCCTTTTCACTCCACCTAAAAGACAGGATTATAGTTAAAAGCCCAGAATTGAGCTGAGGGATGATTACACTTCTCACCATTCCTCCATATCACACACACACCCCCCCACCAAAAAAAAGACCTCTTCTGAACGGCTTGCAAATCTCCATCCTGGTTACGCATGACTTTAACAGAAAAAAAAAAAAAAAAAAGAAAAGCTAGTCTGTGAGACAGGCCTATGTAATACATTCCTGCTATGTTAAAGGAAATGCACAATAAAAATAGAAATGAGAAGTCTAAACATGTCAAAGAGAGTAAAACATTAGTCAAGCTTAAGGAAAAGCTTCGAGTCAGCTCAGATAGCAGAATAGGAAGAAGAAGAGATAGAGACATTTATGGAGAAGAATGGAAGCTGGGGGGTGGAGGTAGGGGTGTAAATCCCTAAGGGAAAAAATCAAACAATCTCCAGATTTCCTCAAAGGAATAATAATAATCCTTTAAATAAGGGGAGGGAGGATAAAAGGCAGCAGGAGGAGGGGAAAGTAACATGGAGAGATGTGATCAAACTAGTCATGAGTCACAGACATAGCTTTATATAGGTAGAGTTCCTAAACCAAAATACATGAGAGGTAGAGAAGACAAAAAGGTACGTGAATTTTATTGTTTTGCTTCATTCTGTCTATTCATACTTGTCAGATAGTACAAAAATAAACACAAGTGTCATGGGATGATTTCCACACCTAAAATCTATTATTTATCTGGCCCAGGAGATTGTCAAATAACTAAAAATGCAAATACTATAAAAAAGCACATAGCAGGTAAAGAAAAAGTAAAGGGTAAGGGGGAGCAGAAACAGTATAAAGCCAACTTAGCAAGCAAAGCCTTTCAGAAAACAGATGAAATCACAACCCAAACTTCCTAAGCATTTGTCTATTACCAGCACCTGTGCATCCACTTAAGCAAAACCAAACAAAATTAAACATATGCACTCAAATTAATTTTGCCAAACTCGGGGTCTTCAGCCTTAATGGTCTTTGCTTTTTGAGATTCTTCTTCCTTTATTGCTCCCTTAAGAGCCTTCCCTATATTGTTTAGGTCCAACATACTCTAAGAAACCTTATCTAAGAACTATACTCCCCCCACCCTTTCTTTTCTGAAATAACAATTTTGAATAAAGGAACAAATGAGTGAGAAAATTAAACAAACTGGCAAACATAATAGTGAGCAAGTCCTTGGCTCTGAAAAGTGAACTACACTCATGCAAGTGTTCAAATAACCTCAATAAATACTTTCTTTTTTTAAAATGTCATAATTCTAATTTTAGAAACTTCAAAATAAAGGGAGAGTTGCTGTTACATGTTTTTGCTGTACTGGCTCTGTAAACATTCCTTCAGGAGGAAACACTTTTCCCTTACCACTACTGATCTGCTCTTACTTCTCCACAATAAACTCTCTATAGGTCTATTAAGAGACCCCTCATTACATACAATAAACTTCATACTTCCACCCTTAATCATATATGAAAAAACACCGTAACCTAAATCTGGACTCTATTCTTACCCATTCACTTTGTAACTAACCATAAAAAAACTAAGAGGAGGATCAGAGATGAGATAGACATATAAATACTTACAAATGAAAAAAAAAAAAAAAGAGGAATTTTAAAAATTACACAGGATTGTAGATTTGGATAGGTAGATGCTGGAAAGCTAGGTGATTCAGGAGACGCAAGAGGGATTAAGGATATCAAGTGTATCTGGTGACACAGTAGTGTTAGGACCTAAAAATTAATGACAACTACATTGATAAAGGAAAGAAAGAAAAAGATCAGAGGAGGACAGATGGGGAAAAAAAAATAAAAAGGGAAAAGGAGAAACTAAGAGAAGAAATAAATAAGTGAAACAGACAAAAAGCCAACAAAAGGAGGGACAAAGAGTAAATACAGTATTACTGACCAGTTATCTAATACAGCAGATACAACAGAGATGCAGAATCAGGTGACAGAAAGGAATGAGAAAAGGAGGGGGGAAATAAGAATATAGGAGAGCACTAGTGGTGGGAAGGAAAGAAAAGCAGGAGTAAGACAATAATAAAGACTTTATTTCTGCTTTCCTTAACACATTTTCCTGGCTTGAGGCTTAGAAAAATAGTCTCTAGTTTATGTGATATGGTACCTTTTTACAAAAATATATAAGCTATGGCTAACACATTTCCTCCTCCCTACCTGTTATGATGGGAACCTCCTAAAAATCTTCTCATAATCTCTAATCTGGCTCCTCTTCCCTATGCCACTTCTAAGATACTTCCTGGAAAAATACCATCCAAACAGGACCACACTTTTAATGTTTTTTCCCTCAACAATTTCTCTATTTATTTAATGAATATTGATTTGCATTTGATAGGTTGCATATAAGCCTTTCTAAGCAGACTCCCCAAGTCACTGCCTTTTATTTTCCCACTGCATCCAGGTATGACACTCTAAACCCAGCATTCAGGAGATGCTAATGACTCCCTTAATTCCATTATGGGAATTTCCTTAATTCCAGGAAATAAATTCAGCTTGCTGTTGGACTTTAGCGAGTGATGATATAAAAGATCCCACCCCTGACTTCATTTTGGCCCCCTCTCCACTGGTATCTTAATGTACAAACTAGACCTTCAGGGCCCCATAAGTATTAAAATTAATCAACACAAGTTCTGAATATCTGTGATGTAAAAGGCATTAAATAATTATACTAGAATACCGCATAACCCAATCCTACAGCTCTATGTAGTACGAGGATACAGTATTCCTGAATACCTGAAAATTGCCTCTAAAATGTAGGCTTCATGATCATGACCTTACCAAGTTTATTCTGGGAAATCATTTTCTGCCTTTAATTGCTACACTTCAAAAAAACAACGTATCATGCCAACCTTTCTTTTAGATTATCTCAATTTACCATGATGAATTACTATAAAATGGAAGTCAATAGTGCTGTGAAACCAACTGAGTAAAACAGTTATTATAGAAACCTACCGTACAGCCACAGACGCCCTCTGCCTAGACTCTTCGTTGTGATGGTAATCTAATACCTCTGAAAGCAGATTGCTAATACTTCTCGAGTGACTCCACAGCACTTTACTCCATCTTGTTGCTTAAATTCATTTCCCTAAAACATGAAGCAAATTTTGCCTCTCCCTTAACTGCATCTACTGAATAAGATCAAGCAAAGAGGAAATGAGAAACACTTACTGCTCTGGCAGCTTCCCCAAAGTCAATCTTTAGCCGTCCCATGGCTCTTATGATTGCAATGATGGACTGTATAGTATTGCTGTAGACAACTACTTTATACTGTTTACATTCTTCCTCTGAATAGCCATCCTCATGAATGATTCTTAAAAAAAGAGGGAAACCAAAGTCATTACTAGAGCCTGACAATGAAAAGGTATTACGGACTTTTATGAGGAAATACAGCCATACAAAACAGTCATATTTCAACTTACTTCATCTGTTTCACGATGGTGCTTTTACCAGATTCTCCAGCACCTGAAAGAGGGGATAAAAAACCCTGAATTTATCTGTACTCAAACTCAAATGTGTGGAATCAATATGAGCAATAATTCTAGATTAATAGGAACCACAGGCTCCAAGGAAAATTTTGGTGAGGTTTTCATGTCCATCAGCAAAAACTACAGGATTCTCCATTACAGCATTTCACTCTCTTTATATAAAACCAAATCCACAGCCATCAAGTTGATTCTGACACACAGTGATTCTACAGGACAGAGTAGAACTGCCCCATATGGTCTCCAAGGCTGGAAATCTTTATGGAAGCAGACTACTTCATCTTTCTCCCACGAATCATATGGTGGGTTCAAACTGCCAACATTTTGGTTAGCAGCAGAGTGTTTAATCAGTGCACCACCAGGCCTCCTTTTACATAACTTAGCAAACAAAGATAATTCACTGAAAGTATCCCAGGGCCTGCTTGTTAATACTTGGGTAAAACAAGCAAACTCAAGGAAAGATGGCAACATAGATATTCTCCCTCTACATGAAACATAATGATATAGACACTGAAATGAGTCAACGTTGTTGTTATGTGCTGTCGAGTCGGACCTCACTCATAGTGACCCCTCCTTGGGTTTCCAAGGCGGTGTCACTATGGAAGTAGACTGCCCAACCTTCCTTCCGAGGAGTGGCTCGTAGGTTTGAACCACCAGCCTTCTGGTTAGCAGCAAGGTGCCTCAGGCACTATGCTACCAGAGCTCCCCAGTAAACATTAGAAGATAATATTTTTTGGCCTATTCATTTTCACTAAGTCTTCTGTGACTTTCTGTCCATGGGACTACAGAGGTTCAAAACAGACGCAGAGAATAATACATTTGTCACCACCACTTTATCACTGTGAACCCCCTCAAGAATCTCATTTCTCTCGTTAGTCAGCTAGAATCACTTTCAATTCATGACCACAAATGTCAAATGGGCCCTCTAAACTCTGTGATAACTCAACTGCATTACTCTAGTCAAATTCATTCTCCTACCTTCCAAGATGCTCATTTCACAACAGTACTTCTCTCTCAACCCTTTCAAAACCCTCCTGACTCTCAGCCCATGATCCTGCCTTTCTTCTACTGGAAAATTAAAGCAGTCAGAAAAAAATAACTCATTTTCCCACAACCAAATCTACTAATCTGCATTAACTGTTCTCTGCTTTCATCAATGGATGAACTGTCTCTCTGCCAATGTCTAAGACTAAACCCTCTACTTGTACACATATCCATCTCATTTTTTCTACTCAGTCTTGGCAGCTGTAATTATCCCATGACACTTATACACCATCCATTTCTCTCTTCCCACTGGATCATTTTAATCCTCACACAAACATGTTATATGATATTCCATCTTTAAATCAATACATACCCCACCCCTACCTTTCCTTGATCTCACGTATCTTCCTTCAGCTGCCACTCTATTTCTCTCTGTTCTCCGTTACTGTAAAATTGTCTGTATTCACTGCCTCTGATTCTCCATCTCCATTCCCTCCTTAACCCACTTCAATCATGCTTTCATTCACTCTACTGACTCCACTTCTCAAGGTCTCCAACAACTTCTATATCAACAAACTTACTGGTCAATTGTTGGTCCTCACCTTGCTCAACCTCCCAAGCAGCATTTGTCTAAGCTGATGACATCCACTTGAAATATTTTTTTTCCTTAGGCAGGCTTCTAGATATAACACACTTTCCTCCTTTGATCTCATTCCTTCTCAGTCTCATTCTATATCTGAATTCCAAAGGTTGTATACAGCTTCAGGGCTCTGTCCTTGGCCCTTTTCTCTACCTATACTCACTCTATAGAAGCTTTGGTAGCATAGTGCCTAAGGTATTTGACTGCTAACCAAAAGGCTGGCAGTTCAAACCCACCAGCCACTCCTTGGAAGGAAGGTTGGGCAATCTACTTCTGTAGAGATACCACCTTGGAAACCCAAGGAGGGAGGGATTGCTATGAGTTGGAACCAACTCGATGGCAGTGAGTTTGTTGTTTTATACTCACTCTCTAGGTGATCTCATCTAATTTCATGATTTTAGACATTATTCATAAAATGACAAGAATAGTTAACAACTAGTGAGTTCTTAAGGAGCTGGTGGTATAGTGAGTGGTTAAGGCATTTGGCTGCTAACCGAAAGGTCAGTGGTTCAAACCCACCAGGAGCTCTATGGAAGAAAGACAGGGTGGTGTGCTTTCATATTTACAACCTTGGAAAATCAATGGGGGTTGTGATGAGTCGAAATCGACTTGATGGCAGTGAGTTTGGTGGGTTTTTTTCCCCCCCGTTTAGTGAGTTTTTACTATGTGCAAGATTTGAAGTACTATGCTTGTATTAAATTACTTAATCCTCACAATAACCTTGTTAGGTATTATTATCCCCATTTTACAGACAATATAACTGAAAAAGAGAGATGACAAGTAACTTGCTCACCCACAATCACACAAAAAGTGGAAGAGCTGAAATCTACGTTCACGTAATTCACTCTGAAGTTGGTGATACTGCCTCAATGCTAATTATTTCCAAATTTAAATCTCCAATCTTGGCTTCTAACCTTGACTTCAGACTCATATACATACATACATACACACACATACACACACACACACACACACACACACACATATATATCAGCAACCTGATACATTTCATTAGATTTCTGGTAGGCAATTCAGGTTTAACATGCCCCAAATTGATTTACTGTCTTCCCCCACCCCACAACAAACCTTGCTCCTCCCTCCATCTTCTCATCTTGTAAATAGCAGTATTCACCCAATTACTTGGGCCAATAATGGTGACATGTGATTAACATATAGATGCAATGGGGGCACCAATGCCAATCTGTATATTATATACAGTTTCTTCTTGCACCACAATCGATCAACATGCACACACTGGAAACCACAGGTCTAGATCACTCCAAATGCCCCCTAAATAGTCCAATGATCAGACCGTGCCTTTCCTACAGTCAGTTTTCAGATCTTATCACAACTCTGCCTAAAAACCCTCCAATGGCTTCCAATTACTCAAAATAAAACCCAAGGTCAATAAAGCCCAATATGCCCTGGCCGCTGCCTACCTCTTTATCCTCAACTCCTACTATTCTCCAGTTTCTTCTCTCCGCTCTTGTCAGACTAGCTTTCTTGCTTTTCTTCCAACCTACCAAACTGGTTCTCACTGAGCTACATCCTCTGACTCAAGGTTTTTGCAATTACTGTTCCCTCTGGAATAATTTTTGCAAGATTTTATTTTTCACTCAGGCTTCCTTCAGAGAAGCTTTCCCTAACTAATCTACCTAAAAAGCCCCAACCCACCATATTCTCCTCTTACTCTGTGTTATTTTTTATAGCACTTATTGTTTGTTCACATTACAGATTTGTTCATTTCTTATCTTCCCCACTAGAATATAAATTCCATGAAGGCTTGTTCATTCTTGTATTCCCAGGACCTAGAACTGGGCTTGACACAAATTAGTTACCCAAATAAATACTGTTGAACAAATAATGACTAATGTTTAGTAAGTGTGACCCTTTACTAAATATTTCTCAATTTTCCCAACTAAAAATGTTAGTTAAAATGAAATGCAAATAATATAGAAATTCTACACATCTACATTCTTACAAAAATCTAAAGATATTTACATATTATTTTATTTCTGTTCTTATTGCCTAATTGATCATCAGGATATACTAAAATAGTTAATATTCAAAGAATACACATAGTACTTTCTAGTGACACTGTCAGAAAGAAGTAAACCCTGGCATGCTAACAATTCAATACCAAAGAACAGAATATAAATGCATGCCGGTTATGCTTTAAACTGTTTAATAAGACACAGAACTCACAGATAATCCCATGTTAGCAAGAGCTACTAAGTTAACGAGGACAAGCAGAGATTAATGAAGTAATAGGCATCATTCTTTTATATAATGAAAATAGCATTTCTATCACTGACATTGGATTATTTTGAATGAAAACGTTAGTAAATCTATTAATCTCCAATTCAATTTCTATCCAACCCATCAAGTTTATCAGCGCCATGAGGGTGTGGATAAAATAAAATTAAAAAATTATGTTGCCCCACCTCTCACATTTCCAAGTCTCCCTGATAAAATATTGGTCAGTCTTTCTCCTTTATTGTAACACTATATATTTTCTCCAAAGCTTTCATTAGGCATCTAGTTTTATCTTTTAAAGAGGCACTTCTTACCACAAAACTAAACACAGGATCTATTTCAATAGGTGTTCCAGGGCATTGAACACAAATAAAGACGAATCACTTTATGACCAAAGTGTTTGGCCCATTCACCTTCCAGATCACCATGAAAAGTGCCCCCTCTTACTTGTCTTCCAAGCATGAAATCTAAGAGTCTCTGGAACCCACTTACTCCTCTTCTTTCCTTATATCAAGTTGTAACAAAATCTTCTCTTCTTATGCACATTTCTCAAATTTATCCTCACATGCCGGAGTCTGATTCAGGGCCTATAATAGGTTAGTTACTGCTATAACTTTTTCAAACTTTCAACTCAAAGCCTCTCTCCCTTCTCATCATTTCCAAATGGCCATATAGTATTTAAAAAAAAAAAAAAAAAAAAGTGTCAGTTTATCTAATAATCATCCAAATTCTTCAAATATTTTCTATAAACCTTTTTCATCAGGTATGAACTCTTCATTTTTACCTCAATCCTCTGTACCCCATTGCTCCAGTGGTAAGCATACTCTTTGATAACATCTTCCTCTCAGGTTTTCCCTAAACTGCTTCCCACATGCCTCTTCTCCCCAAAATGTGCACGTGCTATTTGGAACAGTTTCTTATTTTATATATATCTTTTCACTCATCTTTCTTAAAATTTCATCACAAGTTTAAGAGGAAATTCATTGTCCATTTTCAAATCACCAGGACTGTAATAGTAGTGACACAAAGAAAAGGATCACAACAAAGTCCAGTTAGTGTAAAGGCAGAATCTATGGCTTGGAGAGGGAGGAACTGAGGAT